TAGATAAGTACTGTACCTACACATAACATATTGTTGCTCGTATGAAATGTCTGCACGTATTTGAAAAAAAAAATCTCAGACATTTTTCAGATAAAACATTCGGTTACAAAGTCAAGTTCGTTAATAATGAGTAAATACTACAAAAAAAAAAAAAAAAAAAAAAAAAGTGATAGAAAGATCAGAGATTACATTTGGGAAAAGCCACTTACTAGTTAATTATTCATTGACTTGCGCTTTAATTAACGTTGCTTATATAACTACTACATCTTTTTTATTCGATTTTTTTTATTTCAGCATTTTCATTCGTTTATCTTTTCTATATTCTTTCTTAGTTTAGTTTAGTTTAGTTTTCATTTTCATTCTAACATTTACTTTTCTATCTCTATATTCATTTTTATTTATATTTTCATTTCTATTCCTATTTCTAATTCCCTTCCTATTTTTCATTATATTCATTTTATTTTTTTATTTTTTTTCTTTCTTTTTCTTAATCGTATTCTTCTTTATTCTATGTTCTCAGGTTATGATCAGTGATATCCAGACAACTGTTCCAACTTTTGCTAGTGCGTGAATGACAGTGAAAAACATTACTTCTACTTATCATAAATGGAACTCACAGGCGGATCCTGAAATTCAGTACCGGGGGGGGGGGGGTGCATCTGCTGTCTGATCTGTGAATGACGTAAGTGAAGGCGGAAGCTGCGATGGGGAGGGGGGGTGGAATGAGAGGGGTGGGGGGTCTAAGGGTGCCTCCTGCAGGAACTTTTTAAGATTCAATTGCTCTCTATTGCCTGTTTTAGTTTTTTTTGTTTTCAAAATGAGAAACGAGCTGACACAGTTTTTAAAATATATTCTGTGCTTATCTGGTGCATTTTAAGGGCATTTCTGAGCAGATATTATAAATGAACGAATATTGATTTTTACGATAAGCAATTACACGATCGTATTGGCGTCCCACAGTAGATCAGCAGTGCGTCGGTTTATATATATATATGTTTTTTTTTCTTTTTTCGCAGTTTCCCCCTATAGTTTCATCCCTCTAGCAGCGCTTGAAACTAGTTTTTATTTCTCACACCTAAAGAAATCCTTTGGTTTAGAATTAACAAATGCAGACTGAGATACATTCAAATCTAAAATGCACAACGAAATTTATCAAAATCTTTTGCAAACAACAAGTAGAGGAAGCACTTGTGAGAGAAAAAAGAATGCTTAACACTTCATGTTAAAGGTCAAAGAATTTAATTGTTTTTTTTCTTTCGTTTTATATTTACTCCGAAAATTGATTAGGTAAATGTACGCGTAATATTTATTATCAAAAAGGGAATCATGGTTATTCATTTAGACTATTCTAAACTAATATTTCCCGTTTCTATCTACGCAGTACTGATATTACATATACTAACAAAATGTCACACGTGATATACTTTAATAAAATACTAAATCGTGTAGTAATTTCTATCTTTTATTGATGTAACTGTAAATTGTGCGAAGTATGGACATGCACTGAACACTGTAATACAAACAAAACAGTGAAATGTATAAACAAATAAGAGGAAACACTACCATACAAGAAAATTGATTAAAAATAAAATGTTTGTTCCATTTCTACTGTAGTAGTTTTGTTCATTCTGTGATCATGCACGTATCATATGGCAGCCACTTCGATGCTCGCTTGTCACCAAACTAGGTCATTTCTGAACAGGGTCGTTGATGGTTAGTCACTTCATTTTTGGAAGGTTCGTGGTGGTGACGGGGGGGGGGGGGGAAAAGTGCGCAGGAGGAGAGGGCACTTCGGGGTGAGCTGTTGGCCGGAGATGACTCATCACCTTTTGTAATGAGAGAGTGTGGGGTAAGTCACCCCCACCCCTCACACCTTAAGTGTTAAATAAAGTCCAACAGCGCTATTTGTGAATATTAGAGTTTGCATTTCTAGAATAGTGTTTAGTGTACGATTTATTTTTATTAATCAATTGATTTTACATACTAATTAATGGTATAATCCTAATCTTATATTTTCGTTAGAGACTGTGTTTGGTCATTTCTTTCTGTCAGACTAATCTTGAATCATTTTGGTTGTCTCATTTACAGTAGCAAATTCCTAAGGAAATCATATTCTTCGTCTCTCTTACTCATTCACTCACTCACTCATTCACCGCTCTCTCTCTCTCTCTCTCTCTCTCTCTCTCTCTCTCTCTCTCTCTCTCTCTCTCTCTCTCTCTGTTTTCTTTCAAGGTTTAAAAGTCTTAGTAACAGTACGTATGAGGTATACTTCCTACTTTACACAAATTGTTCATCGCCTACAACATGAAAAGTGGCACACTTAAAAGCTATTACATGTACATATATTCTTGAATATATACCTATACAATTAAAACATCTGCGGTCAAAAAACACTGAGCATTTTGAGCATTTCTGTAGAGTATGTAAAGTATGTAGATATGAAAGAGGTGAGCATGAGAAACATTAGTTTATATAATGCACCTGAATAAAACAAAAGTTCATACCACAATTCACCACCGAAGGTTTTTTTAGAAGTGGCACAACATACTGAAGTTTTTTTTCTTCTTCTTCTTCAGAAGTGGCACTGAACACTGAAGATTTTTTTCCGAAGTGGCACTGAACACCAACCGATCTCCGCGTCGAACGTTCACGGAGGAACAATCCCTAAACTAGACAAAACCCTCTTGGTGTTCCCTGCGATCTGGTCCCTGTACCTCCACATGGCTGTATCCCTTGTGGTGAACGGCCGGAAGGAGGCGTTGCACTCCTCCTGGCTCTCTCCCTGGCACGCGGGTCTGTAGTGCCCTAGATACCCCTCGCTGGCAGGGTACAAGTGGTACAGGTCGCGTTCCCTGTCCACTTCCCCTTCGAGATTCAGGAGAGCGAAGTGCGCGTGGAGGCCGAGGGCGTAGGAGGTGTCGTGGACGGCCTTGGTGAAGACCTTCGGCGGGGAGAACTTGGCGGTGCGGGTCACGTGGCGGAGGAGGTGGAGGTACTCTGGCATGTCCGACGTCGCGGGTTCCGTCAGGTTGTCGAAGAAGTAGCTGCAGCGGGCCAGGTAGGAGGTCGGGGGTTTGACGCCGATGGAGTGGGCCGTTCCCTTGGCCCCGTCGATCATGTCCGGAATCGAGACGAAGGGCGGCGCCGGCACCAGGAACTCGTCCACGTCCCACACGCCCACGTAGCGGTGCGAGGCGAGGTGGCGCAGCAGGCAGTCCGTGTAGGGGATGTTCTCCGTCGTGAAGAGACTGTAGCTGAGGAGAAGCAGAAGGGCGTCGGGTCAGGGAGGGAGTGGGTTTCGATGGTGAATTTTGGGTGTGGGGCTCAAATACTGTTTCGTGTCTCCTATCTATTCTTTTATCTCATCCCCCCCCCCCTTTCTTTCTCTCTCTCTCTCTCTCTCTCTTCTCTCTCTCTCTCTCTCTCTCTCTCTCTCTCTCTCTCTCTCTCTCTCTCTCTCTCTCTCTCGCTCTCTCTCTCACCCATCACTATCATTATTGGATAATTCTTGAACCCGAAATATCTACGTATATAAAGAGATCTCATTTCGGAAGTATCTATCTAAACGTCCCAAATCAATACACAAATATACCTCTTCTTCCTAACAAGGGCAGGGAGTCAATCGTACACAAACTTTCCGGAGACGCCGAAGCTCCTTCTGTGTCATTCCCAGGATACCCAGTCATAATCTGCCTGTCATAGAACGATTCCCCTGCGACAGGAACAACGAAGGGATGAACAAGAAAACACACGAATATGTCAAAGGCTTTTTCGCTATTACTTCAAGGCATGATGAAGCAATAGCGAAAAGGCCCTTGGCATATTCGTGTGTTTTCTTGTTCATCCCTTCTTTGTTCCTTTTGCAATTTGTTCGACATGAATTCCAAACGATTCCCCTGTAAACTCGACTAGTAGAAACCCGATGACCTTGACCCCTGACCTCAGCTCTGGTCTCATCCCCCTACGTCATTTACGAGTGAATCTCCACACCAACCGCTTTTACACTACACGGGGCCTTCCAATCACTCTAAAATCTCGTCATATCGACTGCACTGCACAGGACACGACCTCTCCAGCCACGCCACGCTACTTTCACGCTACCATCTGCTACCATACCCACCAGTCGTGTATAAACTTCAACGTACATACAACGTGTATCGTGTTTCCTCAGACACCACTGCCAAAGGTGGGAACATTCCTGTACACCATCCGCTGCTCTTTAGCTTTTCCATTTCACTGTTAAATCCCTTGAAATGAACAGACGGTACAAAGGACCCTTTTGATGCAGGCTTTGGTGTACCTTTGATGGAGGGAAGTCAAGCGGTCGAGGTACTCAAAGGGTTATTTTTTTCGGTTTACTCGTAGTTTTTCTGGAATTCCTTGAGGCTATGTGAGCCGGGAAATTTAGGGAAGGTTGTTGTATACTGTATTTGTCTATTGTCTTTTTGACTCTCTCTTCTCTCTTTCTTTCTCTTTCTATTTCTCTCTCCTCTCTCTCCTCTCCTCTCCTCTCTCTCTCTCTCTTCTCTCTCCTCTCCCTCCTCCCTCTCCTTCTCCCTCTCCCTCTCCCTCTCCCTCTCCCTCTCCTCTCCCTCTCCCTTCCCTCTTCTCTCTCTTCTCTCTCTCTCTCTCTCTCTCTCTCTTCTCCTCTCTACTTCCTCTCTCTTTCTCACCCTCCCACCCTACCCATCCAACCCCTCTCCCACCCCGTCCTACCTCCAACCCTACCGCTGCGTGTCGTAAAACGCCCTGTACAGATGGGGCACGTTCGGCTGCGATCCAGGGTTCTGCCAGGGAATGACGCTGAGGAACCCTTCCTTCTCGTAATGCCGCAGGATCTTGGCGACGTTGGGGTGGGCGGAGGCTTCGTAGGTCGTGATGTGGTCGACGCCCCACGCCCGCGCTGCCTCGATCCATTCGGCGAGTCTGGGGCGAGGAAAGAGGTCGGGAAATGGTGATGATAATGTTGTAAATCTTATTGATTGTATTAACTGTATTGATGGTATTGGTGGAGATGGTAATGGTAAACATTTTATTGATTTTTATTAAAATTTTGATGGTATTACTAGGTTGTGAGGTGGTCATGTCATTGTCTTTGGTTATATTAGATGAATTAATGATAGTAGGTTGTGAGTATTATTGATGATATTACTAGGGTGTGAGGTGGCCATGCTAATTTAGTTGGTAATATTAACCATACTGTTGATATCACTAGGCCGAGGTGATGGTAATGTTAATTGTGTTGGTTATAGTGATTATATTACTTGGTTATGAGGTGGCTATGCAGATTTTCTTAATCATATTATTAAGGTGTGAGGTGGCCATGTTCACTGTGTAATTTACATTAATCGTACTGATGACATTATTACGTTATGATGGTAGTGTTAACTGTTAATTATATTAATCGTACTGATGACATTACTACATTGTAAGATGTTCATGTTCATTGTGTTAGTTATATTGTTTATACTGATGACATTATAGGGTGGAGGTGATGGTAATGTCAATTGTGTTACCTATATTAATTGTACTGATGACATTACGACGTTCTGAGTTGGTCATGTTCATTATTTTGCCTATATTAAAAGTACCGATGACATTATTAGGTGGTCATAGTAATGTTAATTGTATTCGTTATTTTAATCGTACTGATGTCATTACTACGTAGTGAAATGTGTTGCTTATATTAATTATACTGATAACATTACTAGGTGGAGGTGATGGCAAGGATAAGGATAAGTCCGATATGCGAAAATGAGCCTCACCCGGAAGCTAGGAGATGGTAACGTTAACTGTGTTGTTTATATTTATCATACTGATGACATTACTACGTTGTGAAATTAACATTATTCTTTTATATTAATCTTACTGATGACATTAATAGGTGGAGGTGATGGTAATGTTAGCTATGTTAATTATATCATTTGTACTGATGACATTACTAGGTGGAGTGGAGGTGATGGTAATGTACTGGTTATATTATTACTTTGTGAGATGGTCATGTTTATTGTGTTATATTAATCATATTGATGCCATTTACATTGTGTTACTTACATTAATGATATTGATATTACAAGGTGGAAGTGATAGTAATGTTAACTGTGTTCCTCATATTAATTGTAATGATGTCATTACTACTTTGTGAGATGGCCATGTTCATCGTGTTATATTAATCATATTGATGCCATTTACAAGGTGAAAGTGATGGTAATGTTAACTGCGTTCCTTATATTAACTGTACTACTATTTTGTGAGATGGATATGTTCATTGTGTTACTTATATCAATTATACTAATGACACTACTAGGTGGAGGTGATGGTAATGTGAACTGTGTTGATCATGATAATTATATTGATGGTATTACTAGGGTATGAGGTGGTTAATTGTGTTGGTTATATTAATGATATCGATAATATTACCAAGTGATGAAGAGAATAATGCCGATTTTATGGATTATATTAATTGTATTGATTGTATTACTAGGCGCTGGAGATGGTAATGTTAGTTATGTTGATTTTGTTGTTATGTGGCGGTGATAATGTTAACTGCATTGATTATATTAATCATATTGATGAAATTAGTACGTAATGGAGGTGGTAATGTTAATTATGCTGAATGTATTACTAGGTAATGGAGATGGTACTGTTAATTGTATGAATTATATTAATCATATTAATAATATAACTAAGTGTTTGTGATGTTTCAATTATGTTAATTTTATTGATTATTGCTATGCGCTGCAGATGGTAATATTAATTGTATTGATTATATTGATTCTATTACTACTCAAAGTAAAAGTAATATTGATTATTTGATAATGATGTTGACAGACCCACCTACTCGACTAGTCTTATTACTGCGGTAGAGGAGGTAATAGTAATGTCAATTCTCTTAATAATGGTATTTGTGATTTGTACATTTTATATATAGCATTTGGCGTGAGTATATAAACAGACAAATGTGTTAGAGCGATTGAGAATATACACATCAAATGACAGTAATATGTTGTATCACGTGAATAGTATACCCTTGCATGTTTACTTTCAGGTAGATTGATATATTCTGATAGACATAGGTAGAAAAGGCAAAGGGACAGCGATTGAGACTGTAATTAGGGAGATCATTATAGCAATAGTCATTATGATAATCAGTTCTGACAACAATAATCATATCACTAATAATAATATCAAAAATAATGATTATATGATGATAATTGTGATGATAAAGATAATTAAAATAATAATAATAATTAAAGATAATGATGATAACAATAGTAAAAATAATGATAATAATATATGATAAAGTAAGCATAAATCACTGTAACTATGTAAACGACAATGAATTGATAAAAAAATAGTAATAGCAAGAACAGAAGTGATGATAATAATAATGAAAACGATAGTAATGTCAATACTATTAATAACATTAATACCAGTGACAATACTAATGATGAAATTATTATCAGCAATTATAATAAGATGACAATTCTGGGAAGTGATTATGATAGCAGCAATACACATAAGGCTTGAAGAAGAAAGGTAGTAGTAATCATTAAAGTAATTACTGCAATAATAATAACAAAGGCGTTTATAGTAATGATGATGATATTAATGATAATGATATGACATTAATATAAGTAATGATATTGATAATGATAACAATGATAATAATTATAATAATTATCATGATACTAACAACAGCAATGAAGGATGATGATACTGAGATAAAGTTAGACAGATAGAGAGAAAGACGGATAGACAGACAATCAGACAAGCAGATAGAGACAGACACACAAATGTCAGAACAAAAAGAGGCAGAAAGATAATGATAACAACAAATAAGGAAAAAAAACAAAACATCCCACCCACCCACCCTACCCCACTCCTAGCCCCACTCCTACCCCCCCCCTTACCCATCACCCCCCCCCCAAAAAAAAAAAAAAAAACACACACACAGAAATAAAAAACAGAAAAATAGAAGCATAAAAAAAAAAAAAAATACACTCACCTCTGCGAAATGTCTCTAACGGGATTAAAGATAAACTTGTGACACAGCGCCAGACCTCGCTTCGGCTCGGACCTGTCGTGCTGCAAGACCCGGAGCGCGTTGGTGGACGAAGCACACGCGTGGGGGACGAGAGAGGCTACCTGAGGGACGCCCCGGAGTCCTCTTCCCGCCCGACATGTCACGATGTAGGGTAGCCAGACGCCCGTGAATCGTTCTTGCCAGTGGACGTATTCTGCGGGCGTGGGCGGGAGTGGATTGAGTGGATGTGGGTGGATAGTGGGCGTGATTTGCGGTGGATGGTCTCGTCGGTTGGGTAAAGAGAGAGATTTGTGTGTAGAGTGGGTAGAGAGTGGGTATGAGTGGGTGGTGGGCGGGAGTGGGTTTGAGTGGATGTGGGGGATAATGGGCGTGATTTGCGGGTGGATGGGCTCGTCGGTGGGTAAAGAGAGATTTGTGTAGAGAGTGGGTATGAGTGGGTGGTGGGCGGGAGTGGGTTTGAGTGGATGTGGGTGGATAGTGGGCGTGATTAGCGGGTGGATAGGTTCGCCGGTGGATAAAGAGAAATTCGTGTAGTGGGTGGGTGGATAGTGGATATGGTGGGCGGGAATGGGTTTGAGCGGATGTGGGTGGATAATGGGCGTGATTTGAGGGTGGATAGGCTCGCCGGTGTATAAAGAGAGATTCGTGTGTAGAGTGGGTGGATATAGGTGGATATGGTGGGTGTGGGGCGGGAGTGGGTTTTGAGTGGATGTGGGTGGATAATGGGCGTGATTTGCGGTGGATAGGCTCGCCGGTGTATAAAGAGAGATTCGTGTGTAGAGTGGGTGGATATAGGTGGATGGTGGGCGTGATTTCCGGGTTGGATACAGAGAGTGAGTGGATATGGTTGAAAGGTGGGTGTGATGTGCGGATTGGATACAGAGATCCATGTTTGTGGATATGAGTGGGTGGCGGGTGTGATTTCCAGGTGGATAGACAGGCAGATGGATAGAAAGAGTGGGGAAGGTGAGTGGGAAGGGAGGGAGGAAAGGAAGAGCCGGGAAGGTGAGTGGGAAGGGAGGGAGGAAAGGAAGAGAGAGAGAGGAGATAAAAAAAATATATAAATAAAAAAAAAAAAAAAAAAAGAGATGGGGGGGGGGGAGAAGGTAAGAAAAATAATGAATTAACATAAGCTCATCGTCCTCTCGTTTACAAAAAAAAAAAAATCATTACCAACACAAATTATGTTCAACCTTTTTCAGTATTCATTTTTTTCGTTTTTTTTTCTACTTTTTCCCTTTTCTTCTTCTTTTTTTTAAATGATAAAAAAGCACCGTAAAAAAAAATCGACAAAATGTTACAAATCTCCTCATTTGCATAATGACCCGAGTGCCACTGTTAGCATTTTCAAGATCTGATTTTTTTTTATGAAACAAAAAAAAACTATTAAGCATCTTTTTTGGTTATTTGTGTGTTTATTTGTGTATGTACGTGTGGGTGGGTGTGGGTGTGCGTGCGTGTGCGTGCGTGCGTGCGTGTGTGTGCGTGCGTGTGGTGTGTGTGTGTGTGTGTGTGTATGTGTGTGTGTGTGTGTGTGTGTGTGTGTGTGTGTGTGTGTGTGTGTGTGTGTGTGTGTGTGTGTGTGTGTGTGTGTGTGTGTGTGTGTGTGTGTGCACTAGTAATTGTTTGTGCGTATCTGTATTGGTTTGTATGTGTGTGTATGTGTCTGTATTCATATGTGATGTACGTGTGTAAAGAGAGTGAGGAAACGTACACGAAACAAAGATAGAGACAGAGAACGGGGAGAGGGGGAAGGGGGAAGAGAAATGTGGTTTATGGCAGAGTGAATCACGCTGGTAATAATGATGATGATAAAATTACGAATGCGAATAATAATAAGAATGATAATAATTACATTGGCAATGGTAAATAACCACTACAATTATGATAATAATGACAATGTTCATACAAATAATAATGATAATTATAAGAATGGTAATCAGGGCAATGAGAATGATAACTATAAAGAATGATAACAATAATAATGATAATTATAATAATAATAATAATAATAATAAAGCAATGAAAATTAATTATGATATGAATGACAATGATAATGTTATTGAAAATAATAATGATAATAATAAAAAGAATGGTAATCAGGCAATTAGAATGATAACTATATAGAGAAGAAAGCTGATGATAATAATAATAATGATAACAACAATAATAAAAGTAATGGTAATGATAATGAAAGTATCATTTTATGATAATAAGAAGCATAACAAGACTGATGATAATACAATAATAACAACAATATTAAACAATAATAACGATAAAAATGATGATGATGATGATAATAATAATAATAATAATAATAATAATAATAATAATAATAATAATAATAATAATAATAATAATAATAACAACAACAACAACAAGAGCAAAACCAACAACAGCAATAATAATAATGATAATAATAAAATAATGGAATAGGCAATAGCAATGACATAATAATTATCCTCATCATTATGACAATGATAATAACAATGATGAAAATTATTATGATAATGATGATGATGATAATTAACAATAATAACAAGAGCATCGACAATAACAACAACGATTTAAAATGAAATAGAACATCAACAAACAACAACAACAAAATAAAACAATTTAAAATGAAATAGAACCCTCATACACTATCACTGACATTAACATATATACTAACAGCGACCTAATCCTAAAGTATAGACTAACACCAATACTGATACTTATATTAATGTTCAGAGAAGAGATGAAGAAAAGAAGTCGACAACGAAACAAGAGAAGGAAAGTAAATAAAAATGTTTTTTTCTTAAGACGATATTCCAATATAGCCTACGTGTCCCCCTCTTCTTCTTCTTCTTCTTCTTCTTCTTCTTCTTCCTTTTCCTCCTCCTCCTCCTTCTCTTCCTCCTCCTCATCCTCTTCTTTTTCCTCTTCTTCTTCCTCCTCTTCTTCCTCTCTTTCTTCCGCTCCCACTCCATCCCTCTTCCCCCTTTTATTTATTTTTTTGCCTTTTATTGTTCCATCTTTCGCTAGTCCTTCCCCCTTCCTCAGCCTCACTCTTTCGTTCCCTTTTCCTTCCTCCCCATCCTTCTCTCCTGTCTCCTCTACCGCCTCCCTTTTCCTTCTATTTTTTCTTTCCCTTCTTCCTTTCTTTCTGCTGTCTCCTTCTTCCTCTCTTTTCTCCCCTCTCCTTCTTTCCTCCTTTTTCCCCTCTCCTTCTCTCCCATCCCCTTTCCTTCTTGGCCCTTCCCTCCCATCCTCCCCTCTCCCTTCCCTCTCCTTCCTCCCTCTGCCCCCTTCCCCCTCCCTTCCTGCCCCATGCACCCTATCCTCTCCCTTCCTCCCCACCCATCTCATCACTCCCACTCTCCCTCCCACCCCCGTCACCCCTCCTCCTCCCCCCACCCACCTTCCCTCCTCCACCCCCCCTTCGCGACGATACATCCGGGTAATTACGCCATAAACGAGGCTGACCAATCACCGAGGTCTTTCACCCCGACATTTTTCCCGCCTTTTTTATCGGATTCTTCGCCCCGCCTGCTTGTTCGATTTGTGGGCGTATGTTATGGGTGTTTTTTGTGATTGGGGGGTATATTTGTGTATTTGTCGGTCTATTTCTATATATATTGGCTATTTTTATATCTGTTTATTTACCTATTTGTCTGTCTGTATGTCTGTCAATCTATTAATGTCTATCTCTAGGTCGTGCGTGCGACACACACACACACACACACACACACACACACACACACACACACACACACACGTATATATAAGCATTTGACTGAGGACATCACACCGCCGCTGACCTCAGTCGCAGACACCCCTTACTGTCGTTCGTATGGTATTAACTCACCCACGCGGATGGCTCTGGTGGCCGTGGGCGCGACGTCGCCTTCGAACCACAGGTGGCAGGTGGGCGTGGGCGGCTTCGGACTCTCGACCATCACCAGCACTCGCACCAAGGGTCCTTCTGAGGAGGGTTTCGTCATGTTAGTAACGATTTTATGTTTGAGCGAAATAAGGTTAATTAAGTTAATTGGTGTTATTTTTTGGTTGATTAATGTTTGCATGTTTCATACGTATGTATTTTACATGCATACGCACAGACGCGCGTATATATATATATATGTGTGTGTGTGTGTGTGTGTGTGTGTGTGTGTGTGTGTGTGTGTGTGTGTGTGTGTGTGTGTGTGTGTGTGTGTGTGTGTGTGTGTGTATATATATATATATATATATATATATATATATATATATATATATATATATATATATATATATATATATACATATATACATATATATACATATATAGATAAATAGGTACAGACATGTATGTATTTACAGTAATTTATGTGTGTGTGTGTGTGTGTGTGTGTGCAGCTGTATCTTGTCCAACTTCCATTACCTCAAAGCCTAAACTGTCAAACCTACTCAGCAATTTGTTTGATATATATATATATATTATATATATATATATATATATATATATATATATATTAAACCAATATTCATACCTGTTATGCTTTGTTTTGTTCCTGTTCAGAATTACAGCTAGTAAAAAAACACATACAGATTTTGTAACTGATATGTATAACTGAAACTTATATACACACACACACACACACACACACACACACACACACACACACACACACACACACACACACACACATATATATATATATATATATATATATTATATATATATATATATATATATATATATATATATATATATATATTATATATAATTAGGCCACGGGGTACTTCCGGGAGGCCATGAAACCTTATGGAAATTATGACGTCGAATTAAACTGACTTCTATCTCACCTACAGTACAGATAATTATCTCTCACATATCAATAAATCGGAATGTTTCTATAGAGTATTCTCATCCTATGGCTACTGACACCATTAGACTATACATAGCTAGTAATAAGTGAATCTGAAAAGGTGAAAAAGGTGGAGATTATTACATATGGGTCGAGGGCTACAAAACCAAAAGAGTTGGGAACTCCGTGCTTTAACCCCACTAATTCCTACCCCCACCAGCGGACTCTCACCCCTTCCCCTCTACCTCCACCCCTCTTCCTCACCCCCACCAACCGACTCTCATCCCTCACCTGCCCCTCCCCCACCCTCCACTCCACTTCCTCACCCCCCCCAACGGATTCCCACCCTCCACCTCACCCCCATCCCCTCCACCCACCTTCACTCCATCCCCCTCCACCCATCCTCACCCCATCATCACCCTCCCACCCCTCCCCCTCCCCATCCCCCTCCACCCACCCTCACCCCCCCCCTCCACCCGCTCACTCCCATCCCCCTCCACCCACCCTCACCCCCACTTTCCAATCCCCCCCCCTTCCTCACCCTCAACATCGCGATCGTCGTAGTAGGCCCCGAAGGCCAGGAAAACCGTGCCGCCGACGTCCGCCTCCTGCCACACGACATTCCGGTGCCTGACGGAGAAGACGCCGGGGGTGTTGCGGCACCTCTTGCCCCTCCGCTCCTGCTGCGTCAGGAACTCGACCGCCAGGGAGGGTGGAAGGCCCGCACGCTCGCCTCGGCTGTCCTGCGTGGAGGGAGGGGGAGAGGGGGAGTTGTGAGGGGCTGGGAGAGGGGAGGGGTGTTATGGGGTGTGAGTTGATGTTTGGTGGTGGGTGGGGTTATTGCTGTTGTTGTGGTTGTGGTTGTGGTTGTGGATGTTGCTGTGTTGTTTTTGGTGTTGTTGCTTTTGTAATTGCTGTTGTGGTTGATGTTGTTGTTGCTGCTGTTGTTGTAAACTTGTTTGACTTGGATTTTTATTAATTTTATTTTCAAGTGTTTGTATCATCAATATAGGATTAATTAATTTAATATACCTTCACCATACTGTTTTCTCGGTGTGGGCCACTATTTTATTTGTTATTGTATATGAGAGGGAAATTGTATTTTTACTGTTAATTTAAGGGAAGGACAATAATGATGTACAATGGAATATATATTATAAAATGTGATTGTTGTAGTTGTGGCAGCTGTTGTAGTCATTATTGTTGTTGTTTTTCTTCGTTTTCTCTTGTACAGAAAGAGGACGATGATATTAATTTATAATGGGGAAGATGGGCTTGGAAAAAAATAATCTTATAGTTTTTCCTTTTTTTGTTTTTTTGTTTCTTTTAGATTAGAAATAACTTGATATGTCGTTGAGTATTGTCATGCATGAGGTTGTGAATTTGGCTGTTGTTCTTTTTTCCTCCCATTCAAAATGAAAAAAGAAAAGAATATATACATATATTTATGTGTATATATAATGTGTATACAATATATACATATAATATATATATGATATGTGTGTGTGTATGTAAATAAACAAATAAAAATAATAACAAATATATATATGTGTGTGTGTAAATAGATAAAGAAAAAGATAACAAAAGAAGAAAAAAACATTTACTTATATATATACATACATATATATATATATATATATATATATATATATATATATATATACATTATATATATATATATATATACATATATATATATATATATATATATATATATATATATATATATATAATATATATATATATATATATATATATATATATATATATATATATATATATATATATATATATATATATATATATATACAACTAGTAAAATTTCCTTGGACGAAATATCATCAAGTGGAAAATCACAAATGACATAAACCCACAGCTGACATTGATTAAAACAAAAAATGAATTAAACCCCTTCTTCCCCCTTTCATAACCCAGCGTCATGCCATTCAACACGTCGCTATAGAAACGATTCTCCGCGGGTTTTGTCTCCCATGACACTCGTTACAAAATCCTGTACCTGTTTGTAACCGGATCTACTTCCGCCATGAGGGTATTGAGGTATCTGGCAACTCTCTCCTCCGTCTCCACTTCCTCATTGCATTCACATCTGCATCGGGGGGAAAAAGT